TCCAATTCCATAGTTCCTTTGAGAAAGAGGTTTTCACCCTAATTCTGTGTACGTCCATTTACTCCAACCTCAGAGCAAAGCTACTTTCCTCCCATTCCTCTGATCCCCTGACCTAGTTAGTATCTCTCTCCCTTCAGCAGGATTTCCCTGATCTCAAGCACCCATGTTTCCCCTTAGTTTCCCAGAACTGACCTCTTATCTGTATAAGCACAACCTGGATTCTCTAGCTCACTGGTTTTCTCACTCCTCTCTCCATTGCTGCTCAGCAGAAAGTCTAGGGATCCAGACCTTCTATGCTGGATCACAGCATCCTGGGAACTTTGACATTCCCCTAATCCATCATCTTCAACTCTATCCAGCTAGCTGCATTCTTTCTGCAAAAGGTTTCGGCTCTTCTCCGCTGTGTCCCCACTCCCTGGTCCAACTCTGAGTTCCACCTTCTCATGCCCTGTAACCCCAAGCCCACCTTCCTATGTGAGATTGCAGATAACACTAGGTTGTGCTGCTGTTTGATCTAACCCACCTCTCTTTCTCCCAGCCAGGCTGATTATCCCTCAAGGCCATCAAGGCTTTGGGAGGGTAGGGGTTTTATCTTGAGGAAGAACAAAGTTAAACTGTGCTCAAATTACTAATCAGTTAAAGTCTTATAATACTATACAATAACATTTACCTCAAACTGAATATTATGTTTTTGATGACTCATAAGGCACTTTAATTGATTTTAATGCCTTTTGTCATTAGTCAGATTAATTATTGTGGGTAATTGAAAATGCAAAAAAGTGAAATTAGTAAATCTTTCTGGCTGATAGCATGATGGATATATCAGCTTTTCTTCTGCTAGAAAGGAGATAAAATAGAGTAACATTAATGTGCTCAATATGGCCTATATTTCAGGTTGTTAATAGTGTTAAAATCTTCCTGACATACAAAACTTAGTGGAATATAATTATAAAAGTCCATTTAATAGTTTTAAAGCACTAATATCAAAATTATTCTATAAAGAAGACTTCAGCCCATAATTAGTGTTCACCACAGTATGCACTAAATCTTTCTGGAGTACCATCCCCATCTATCTAATCAGAAAGTTCTTGCCCTACTGAAAAGATACTTAACAAGTCTACTATATCCAATTATATTTGTATTTTATCTAGTTCATAGTATTTCTTTGAAGCTTAAAAGTTATATGTCACAGATGCAAAAATAATATACAGCAACATTCCAAAACACATGTTTTCATAAAACACAACTGATTTATGAAGATAAAAGGATCTCTTTCTTTGAAAATTACTTTCAAAGAGTTTTAGGGTCCAACCACCATTTTCATGATTTTCTCCATAGATAACGGTCTGGTGTAGGCTGCAGTCAATTGCTACATAATTTTTTATCCATCAAGGCTTAATGGAAAGAAGTAAGATGAAAAGGAAATATAAATTTAAAATCTCTGTTCATGGTCTAATGGCCTGTTAACCAGCCAACTTTCCATTTGCAGAAAGCCTTCATTAAGACACCATTAAGGATGGCATTAAAAATTCTGATCTGTTCTGGACTGTAAGTTATGTCTCACATAACAAATTTTAGTTGTGTTCCTTCAGCTCTAATATCTGTATGTAAATATCTATTGTGTTACTTATATCCTGCTATAGGAATATAATGGTACAGACTATTGCAAAATATAGTCCTCAGTTTGAAAAATTCCTTCTTGAAATAAGATGATATCCTTTGAAGCAATATGGATAGAGCTGGAGATCATTATCCTAAGCCAACTAGCACAGGAACAGAAAGCCAAATACCATGTTCTTACTTATAGATGGGAGCTAAAAACTGAGTAGTATTTGAGGGTAAAGGGAAGGAGATGGGTGAGGACCAAAAAACTACCTATTGGGTTCTTACTATCTGGGTAGCAAAATAATCTGTAAATCCAACCCCTGTGACATGCAATTTACCTATATTAACAAACCTGCACATTACCCCTCAACCTTAAATGAAAGTTAATAAAAAATCTAGATCATGTACAGAATCTGGGCCTTATATATATATATGAGAGGGGCATTCCATAGTGGGAGATGAGCTCTGACCCGTTATGTAGAATAATTGCCAAAGCAGAGGACAAGAACTGAGCATTTTAAATAATAAAAAAAAGTTCATTACTTTGTTTTATAGGCACTTCAAATTCATCATGAACCTGATTTGAACTTCTCATCTTTCCCTCCAATCCTTGTGTTCTTCTAGGCAGAATTATAGAAGTATTAAATTTATACTTTCCTGCACCACTCCTGGTTACATTCCAAGTGTATTTTGAATTGTTCTACACCTCTCCAGATCAACTACTATCATTTGAATTCAACATTTTTTTTTTTTTACCTAGATGGTCTCTCGTTCAGCTTTATTGAGACAGAGTTTACATGAAATACTATTTAATCTTTTCAAGGAACAATTCAATGATTTTTGGTATTTTCAGAGTTGTGCAACCATCATAACAGTTCATTTTAGAACATGCTCATCACCCCCAAAAAGAAACCTTTTGTCCATTAACAATCATTCCTCATTTCCCCCAATTCCCCTAGTTCTAAGTAACCACTGATGTACTTTCTGTCTCAGTAGAGTTACCTATTACGGACATTTTGAACCATTGGTATCATACAGGATGGGTCTTTAGGGACTTGCTTCTTTCACTTGGCTTAATGTTTTAAATGTTCGTGCATGTTGCAGCATCTATCATTACTTCATTCATTTTCATTGCTAAATAACATTATGCCATATAAATCTACCATATTTAATTTATCCAATTATCAGTTAATGGGCATTTGGGTTGTTTCTACTTTTTGTTATTATAAATAATGCTGCTATGAATATTCAGGTATAACTTTTTGTGTGGACATATGTTTCAGTTCTCCTGGAGTGTAAATCCTAGGTCATGTGCTAACTGCATGTATAAGATTTTATGAATTGCTAAACTGTTTTCCAAAGTGGCTGCTCCATTTTACACTTCTACTAGCAGTGCATGAGTGTTCAAAATTTATCCATATCTTCACTGACAGTTGCTATTTGATAATCTTTTTTTACTATAGTCATCCTAACAGGTATAAAAATAGCATCTCATTGTTTTGGTTCACATTTATTTATGACTGATGATGTTGTACATCTTCTGTGTGTTTATTGGTCAATTGTAGATTTTGTTTGGATAACATGTAAGCAAACTCTTGTCCCATTTTTAAATTGGTTTGTTTGTCTTTATATTATTGAGTTGTAGGTGTCCTTTCTATATTCTACCAACAAGTCTCTTATCAGATTTATAATTTGCACAAATTTTGTCCCAAACTGTAGGTTGTCTTTTCACACTTTTGATAGTGTACTTTCAAGCATATTTTAAAATAAAGCCCAATTTTTTTTTTTTTTTTTTTTTGAGACGGAGTTTCGCTCGTTACCCAGGCTGGAGTGCAATGGCATGATCTCGGCTCACCGCAACCTCTGCCTCCTGGGTTCAGGCAATTCTCCTGCCTCAGCCTCCTGAGTAGCTGGGATTACAGGCACGTGCCACCATGCCCAGCTAATTTTTTGTATTTTTAGTACAGACGGGGTTTCACCATGTTGACCAGGATGGTCTCGATCTCTTGACCTCGTGATCCACCCACCTTGGCCTCCCAAAGTGCTAGGATTACAGG